TCCTCCCCCCCCCCAAAAAAAAATCCTCGTCAACAAATCAATTGGTCTGACAGTCAGTGCGGGTGGTTGGCGGGTGCTCTGGTGTGGTTTGCTCCTCCTTTCCTATAAAACATCTATCGTCCCCTCGTTATTTTATTATGTTTGTTATTCTCTTGTAACACCTCTATTTTTCGGCACTTATAATATGACCTTTTAAAAAGGTAAAACACTAGCTAAAGCTAAAAAGAATGAGAGACATTTTCCGTGCCCTTGGAATCAGTGAAGATGTAAAGTTGTGTCTTATCATTTCATAGGTGTGAAAGGGATGTTTTTTTAATGATAGGAGTTTGAATTTGGCCCAGATGGCGACCCAAATGACCTACACGTATGCGATTTTTGTCCGTCAAGGGATCTTTAACGTGTGCAATGTACCATGACTAGTTGTTTTTTAAAAAAAATCCTTGCCTATTTAAATGAGATTGACGCCATCTGATTAGTAGAAAAAAGTGCGTATAATGATAGTGTCCAATAGTGTATTACATGCATACTTAGTATAACCAAACTCTCTGGTATAACAAGTAATTGCTAGAGAGGTGAGCAGTATAAGTCTGATTCACTGTAAAGACTGCTCTGTTGACACCCACCCCTTGGCGCTCATATGACATTATGCAGTTGTGAGCGCCGTAAAACCCTCTACTATAAAAAATAAATATATATATAACAAGTAATTGTAATAGCAGATCAGACAGAGATTCCAGGATTATAGATGTAAGTCATTGATCTGAGAGTGAGAGCGATGGTGATTTTAGAAATAATGGTAGTGGTGATAAGTGACGATGTGGGATTGCGTTTAAGTAATGTTAGCGTTAGTCCTATCTTCCTCTGCTCCAATGAGTCACGAGGGACGTGGCCACCCTCTATCCCGTTCCCTACTGGAACCATCTTTACGGTCACCGTGAGTGAAGTTCCGAAATGGTGGGCGCAGTCTCTGCAAAGGTGTCATTGTTAGTGTTAGAAGACCATGTCTGTTTAAATAGTGGGATGGGGGGGAGGGGGGAGGGGGGCGTTGTTACCTTTTCGCGATA